GTGTGTGTGTGCGTGTGCGCATTCACGCACATTTCATCTGTGCTGCATTCCCAGTGAGGTTTGTTCATCAGGGCCACCTTACAATCAGAATTTCCTGAGCAATAATCCCTATAAGTACACCCAACAGTATTTGTTGAGCTCTCTTCCTGAGCTGGGTGCTGGAGACAGAAGTGGCACACAGTCTGGGGTACATCAGGCACCCCCAGAAGGGGGGCCCCAGCCCCGGTGGCGCGGGTAGAAGGTGATGGTGGTATCTTAGCAGAGCTAGGAGAACAATGCACAGGGACAACTTAACCCTAGTTGGGGGAGGAGAGCTCGTCAGTCCTCCAGAGAGGAAGTGATTTTCAAGTTGCCATGGGGGGTGGGGATAGCAAAGCCCAGACCCTAATTATACCACTCCAGGAATGCTCCATGCAGGGCCTGTCCTGGTGCCATCTTGGACATGCTCACTCCAGGATGGTGGCCCTTCCACCCCGTCCTGGAGGTGGGGACCACATGTGTACTGCCGCCCCAGCCTCTGGCTCTGCGCTCTTACCACAGAAAGACATTTCATTCTTGGAGATCAGGCAGCCAGGACCCAAGGAGCTGTTTTTCCTCCATTGTGCAAGCATGACAAATCATTAATTTTTGATTGATTTGCTTAGAATTATGGGCGCCCCAGCATTCTTTCCGCCACTGAACAGCTGTATAACAAATGAATATATCACAGTGCACAAAAGATTGGAGATCTAAGAGAAGCAATTACATTGGCCACCCTCCCCCACCCTCACCCCTTCCTGTCCAGGGAAAGGAGCAAATTTTTACCAGAAATTCCTCAAGTGGGTTTACAAAAAAGAAACAAACAAACAAAAACCAAAAAAAAAAAAAACCTTTTCATAATTGAGTTAAATCTTTATTTCTTCATCTTTTACAGCTGATTTCTAAACACACACCAGTTCTCCATATGCTTGGTTGGGTTCTGTCCATCCAGAAAGAATCTTTAAGAATGAAATCGCAACTTGTGAATTGAAACCAAATTGGGAAAAAAAAATAAAGGAAAAGAAAGAGAGAGAGAAAATGCTCATATTCTGCCCCCCCCCCCTTTTTCTGTTTTGGTTGCTGCTATGCCTTTAAGATTTTGGAACTGTACCCATGCACTAAATGTGACCTCCATAACTTTTAAATTAAGAATTTATGCTGGCTTGAAATTTATGAAATATTTCAGCATGAAAGAAAGCCTTTTTCCCTCAGGAAAATTGAGCAATAAATCACAGCGCTGTGGATTTACTGCCCTAGAGCCAGCGAGAGATAGGATTTTTTTTTTTTTTTTTTGCTTCATTCTGAAAAAAAAAAAAATGTAATCATATAAGACAGCTTAGCTGCTGTCCTCCCACTCTCTAGAATTTTTAATTTCAGCTGTTTCTGCTTGGATTTATTTCCAATATTCCTGCTCGGCTTTTCAATTTCCTCAGTTATTAAATTTTAATTCAGTGCATTAGCATTTAAATTAAAAAAGGGTTTATTTTATCGAAATCGTTGGCCAGCCCCCATCCCCGTAGCACACGAATTGCCTGTTTCTGCCATTTGCACAAAATGTGAAATGCAGCTAATGTCTTACAACTTACATTTGCACAAATTTAGAAATAAAATTTCTGGGTTTGGAATAATATTTTCTTTCCAAGAAAACCCTTAATAAGAGAATGGAAAAGAACAACTTAACATGCATTTGGGAGGGAAACAGGGAGGAAGGAAACCAAAAATAGCCTTGCCCAGGTGCTGGAAAAACTGGGGGGTAGGGAGTGGAGGAGCTGGTAAAGAGGTGGGGTACCAGATAGGGACTGGAGGGCCAACATCTCTACCCACAGCCAGCAGGAAGAGGAGGGTTCCCCATGGGCCCATCACCTTCATATCTCATTGGTGATAGAGGTTGGGTCAACTCAGCTCGGAGTGGCAGATGTGGCAGGGAAAGGGAGGGATCTAATTTAGCCCTCTGTGCTTGCCCCATTTTGACCTGTGGAGAGCCTCAGTTTAGAGGAAGCTTGCTTGAGGTTCACAGTGAGACCCAGACAGACTGAGGGAGAAGCTACCTCTATTTAGAGCACACATTCTCTTAGCAGAGATGGCATGTGACCACAGCAGTCACATTCTTTGAGCTGTTATACCGTGGGCCTTCCCTAAGCCTGATGCTAAACTGTAACCCGCATCACCTAGGCCATTGGGATAGTCTTAGGATTGTGGTGGGCTGGTAGAACTGTTGAGATGTCATCTTGAGCAAGGGATTCGGGGCAGTCCAGGCTGGCTCTGCAGCTTATTCAGGCAACATTTTGTTTTCCGGAGCCTTTGTTTTCTAGACCGTGTAAGTGTTGGCTTCTGTAACTGCTTTTGGGACTGCTAATGATTATTACTACTGAGTCCACACTAAATACTTTTACATATGTGACCATAGTTATCTCTGTCTCCTGCCAGTCACAAATGCTGTGCTTGCCATGTGCTGTTGTGATAGTGACATATTATCTTGGAGTCTCACTACTGTGTCCATTGCCCATCCATTCTCCATCCTTTCCCAGCACTGGCACATAACCACTATGGGAGGGTATTTCTCAGTCCAAATAGTCCTTCCTTTAGCAGCTCTGGTACCTGGTGCCCCACCCCCAACACACACACTCACCAGTTCTTTGCAAAAGGACTTGTTTCAACAATAGTTTGAATAGTTGGGAACATTTTGTCTTTGTCACTTATTAAACAAAACAAAAACAATTAAGCAGTGACAGAGAAGCAGGTGAAGACTGTCACTCCAAACAGATCCAGAACATTCATTCTCCCTTTCTGCTGCACAGTCACTGTGTTGGATCTAGCCAACCTGGCATAAAATTGTGATAGAAAGGGCTAGAGAGATGGCTCAGCATTTAATAGCACTTAATGCTCTTTCAGAGGACCAGAGTTTGGTTCCTAGCACCCACTAAGGCAGCTCACAACTACCTGTAACACCAGCTCCAGGGAATCTGACACCTTCTGGCCTCTGCAGGCACCTGTATACGTGTGCTGAACATAAACTCATGTAGACATACACATAAACAGAGATAATAAAGTTTTTTAAAAATTGTGATGAAAAGACAACATTAAAAGTGTATCTGAAGCTGGTCATGGTGGCACACCTTTAGTCCCAGCACTTAGGAGGCAGAGGCAAGCAGATCTCCATGAGTTCACTCTGAAAGGAAGAAATTATTTGGAATTTACAATGTCTTAAAACTCTCAGGGTCAAATGTCTTCTGCTTAGTAGGACCTGAACACAAAAGCAGCCAAGTTTGAGGACTAGGAGAAGGGAAGAGGCTGTAGTTGACCTCATTCCTTTCCCTTCCATGAAATAACAGACTTCTTTCCACCTTCTTTCTTCTGAAATCACAGGTTCTTTCCAAACCATATGTGTGTGACTTTAAGCCATTCATTCCTGTCTTTAAATTGTCTGTATTTGTCTGTATGTGGTAATTGTCCGTATGTGGTGATTGGGTACTCCATGGTGTCACTTTGCTCTTTCCAACCATTGGCAGAAAACAAAGGGTTCTAGGCCTGAGAAAGGGGCTTTTGGAGTGCCCTTGGTCTAGACTCTTAAATGTGGGACTGTGGATGAACAAAGTCTTTGAGTCTCTGAGTGGGGACCAGCAGTGAGCTTGACAGGGGAAGAGAGACATTCATGCGCTACTCTGGCACTCAGGAGGCAAGGGGAGTCTATAGTGACACTCACAGGGACCAAGCAGATGCTGGATCTAAGATGAGGGAGGAGCGGGGACTGTGGATGAGCAGGAATGTCACCACTATTTGCCAGTTACCCTGCAGGCCTGAAGGTGACTGGATTACTTGGTGTTTTGGTTTGGTTTGGTTTAGGTGAACCTGAGAACGTGGCCTTTAGGAGATTTCACTCTTTTTATATATTGACGATTTGTTTGAGTCAAATACAGCCTTGTGGGTTCACCAGTTTTTAACCTCTTGTAAGCACACATCAGAAGGTTGCTGCTGTTTTTACTTTAGGTTCTCAGCCCTTCATCCACAGTTCTGCAAATTAGAAAGCTTGGAAACAAAAAGACCTTTGAGCAGTAGAATTTGACCTGAGGCAGGGGTGAGTGTCATTCAGGAATCCACGAAGAGTGGCTATGTGCATGTTTTATCACGGAGGTAGCAGGGTGTACCATAGACCCTGCCAGGAATGTGTGCCGTGGGTCCTCTTCATTCTGGATAACAGGGCATATGCTCTTGAGCCTTGGGCACATTGTTCTCAAATTACTATGGTTGCTGGTATTTTGAGAGAGCCAGGAAGGGCATTACTTGTAGCCAGTGGTGGAGGAGGATCCTGTGGCCCCCTTTGGTCTCAGTGCCAAAATCCTCTGAGCCCTGGACTAAGAGTCATGACCCCAGGCCGTTGTCAGTACATCCTCATAAGACTGGAAGCAGATCCCAGGGCCATAGTCTCTTTATTTGAACCAGAATTTCCTGATTTGCGAACATTTCATTTGGTCAGCCATATCTCCCTGTCCCCCCACCCCCAAATAAAAAGATTAAGAGCTGGCCTTCTCTTGCTTTCCTCTGCTCATAGGGTTGGGGGACAGAATATTTTAACATAATGGGATTTCCCCCTCCGGTTGGTAGAAATAAATCTGCAGCCACTGTTTTATTGGAAATCCCAGCTGAAAATAAAAACAGAGCAATTCAATCTCAGATTTAACTAGTTACTTACTTCTCACCGCATCCCCAGGGCATGTGGTTGCTGGCTTTGCGCTGGCAGTGGGAGCTTGTGTTGTCGGTGGGTGATCCACTGGATTTAAAGGGCCAAAGCAGATGAGGTGGGCAGGTGTCGTGAGTCCCTTTTGCCATTGGGGCAGGTTCTCTTGCCTGGAGGGATGGAGCAGCAGTTTGTAAGCCTGTCTAACTCTCTGAAGGCCAGTGTTCTGTGGGCAAGCCACCCAGGGGGGTAATGGTACCGAGACTCTGTGTCTTTTGCCTTGGCTGATGATGTATTCTGGGTTTCTTTTGCAGGCTGACGGAGCCAGTGCAGCTGGAAGGAAAAGCACGGTTAGCAGGTACATCCCTCCGCACACCACACCCTCTCTGCCCCTGTTCTTGGTCCCTGGAAGGATGAGAAGCATCTGGGCATCCCCGAGGATATGAGCTGGTGGGCAGTTTTCCCATGTGCCCTCTGTGGGCATCGGTGACGACTCATTGGAGAACCTAGCCAGTGGCTGCTGAAGTTAGGGTGAGCAACAACGGGAGCTCAGCAGATAGAGTGGCAACTTCAGGACACCAGAAGCATGGCACCCCTGCGCCCAAATACTTGGGCTTATTTTTCTGAACCCATCACTCCAAAGCAAGGCAGTGGGCTGTCCATGTGCTGGACGAGGGCTTCATCTTCACTCATGAAGTCGGTTGGCAGGAGATGGGAGGGGAAGGCCAGAGGAGAACCAGGTTAGTATTGCCAGAGAAGGGAGGAAGATGGAAAGGCATGACCATACATCCCAAGCTGTGGTGTTGCCCAGTTGACACTTGGTAAGGTTAACACTGGTGGTAGGTACTGCTGTGTCTTGGGTAAATCTGGAGTGACCCTTTGGCCTTTGAGGCCTTGGAGGCAGAAGAAGGTAAATGACAGAGAAGAGAGATGCCTCTGTGGCACATACAGTCAGGGGTTACCTGCTGGGCTAGATGAGTGCCACAAAGAAATGTTGATTTTTTTTTTTTTTTTTTTTTTTTTTTTTGTGAGAGGAATGAAGAAGGCTCTTTCTGTGGCCAGATTTACCAGGAGAACACCGCAGTAAACAACCTCAACCAGATTTTGTTGTTGTGGGATGTTTTAGCCTTAGATGTGGTTATGTGCCTGCTTGGGTGGGAAGAACAGAGCTGAGAAGGGGTGGCAATGAACCAGGGGACTGTCCCTTTGGGACTCACCTACTTAGTGAGTGTCCCTTGGAACACCTTTGGAAATCCCTGGGAAGTGTGCTCTTTGAGCTAATAGGCAGTGTGTCCAGCCTTGTTGCAGCAGCCTTTTGTATGGTGAGGTGGGGGTCATGACACCAGGAGGGAGGTCCCTCCAACCCATGTGAACTTGTGGGGTCACGTAGATATTTTACACAGTGCAAGAGAGGGGTAAGTGGGGTGATGGGGGAGCCGAGTGTGGGCTGGAATGGAGGAAAGTGTTTTGTTATGTTCCTATGATAAAATATTCTGACAGGAACAGCTTAGAGGAGAGGGTGTATTTTAGCTCACAAACCAGGGCAAAGTTGATGTAAGGAAGCTGGTGTAGAGTATCCTGAAACAGTCCGTCATGGCAGTCAAGAGCAGGGGGAAATGAAACCACGCATGCATGCTCACTCACGTGCTCATTTGTGCTCAGCCTGATTTTGTATAGAACTTGGGAACCCCTGCCCAGAGAATGCTGCTCCCCACAGTGGGTAGCGCCCAGTTAAGGCAGGACAGTGCCCACGGGTGTATGCCTACAGGCTAATCCAATGCAGACAGTTCCTCATTTGAGACTCTCAGGTGATTCTAGGCTAAATCAAGTTGACAGTTAAGCACTCAGGTGGCCAGGCCTGGGAACATTGGTGGTAAATAGTGCTGGTAATAAGCTTGCAGCCATCTGTGCCCAGGATACAACTTTTCCTGGAATCTGGTGGTGGACTTTGTGTGTAAGTCCACGGCCTCCAAAGCAGTGGCTCATTAGCCAGAACGGTAACTCTTGCAAGTGCTCTTGGATCAGAAGTTCAGGACTGAAAGGGGCCTGGAAATTTATATAATCTACCATCTCATTGTACATGTGGAGACAATGAGGCCATGGCAAGGACCTATCCTGCTCAGGGTCATTAAGAGAATGGGTGGCGGTGCCAGACTTTGAACTTAACAGAGATGGTGCCTTCCTCTCTCCTACCCTCAGGTGAGGCTGTTGTCCATACCTGTCTTGCACCTGCTGTGGTAGGCCTCCTGCTGTGTGCTCTGTGCTGTATACTCAGAGAGCAGGCAGTAGTGGGCCAGCCAGCTTGTGTGGCTGCTGTATGCCAGGCACTATTCTAAGTGCTGTGTCCACAGCCCTGCAGGGAAATGAAGAGTCATCCACACGGTCACTCCAGTAGGGTTGTGGTGCTTGTGTTCATCATCTAATACATTAACCTTTCCCACTCCAGAGCACATATCTGGCTCATTGTAACCAGAGCACACAGGTGGGTTTTCCCATAGTGCTAGTGGTGGTGGCTATGAATTGACTACAGTTTCATGACTGTAGTCGATGGAAGAATATAGAGATTGATTCCTGCCTGGAGAAGGGTAGAAGAAGAGATATGTGTGGTACCTTTTACTGACCAGCCTGGCCTCTCCATCACATATATTTAGGGACTGAACCCCTTATGAGGGATGTGTTTGTATTATTCTGAGTTTTCTCTGAGGAAGCTGAGGTAGAGGGATTGATGGGCCTAAGGTGGCTCAGTTGGAAAGATACAGGAGGGCCAGGCTACCTCTGACTTCTCTGATGTCTTTGCCCACTCAGCTGTCCAGCTTTTTTAGGTGGAGGGGCTCAGCTAAGAGTTCAGTAGCCAGTTAGAGGTCTGGGGGGAGGGCGTTGCTATCTAGTGGGTAGCTGGGCTGGTTGTGTAGACTTGCCATCCTAGCTACTTGGAAGGCCGAGAGACAGAAGATTATGAGTTTAAGGTCTACCTGGGTTGCAGAATGAGCTCAAGACCAGCCTCAATAACTTAGGGACGTCCTGTCTGAAAATAGAAAAAGAAAGGCAATAGAGAAGGGCAGAAAGGAAAGGGTTCCCAGTTACGTATTATGATTCCATGATTGGAACTGACAGGATTCTCTAGATCAGTGGTTCTCAACCTTCCTAATGCTGCGACCCTTTAATGCAGTTCCTTTTGTTGTGGTGACCCCAACCATAACATTATTTTTGTTGTTCCTTCATAATTGTATTTTGTTACTATTGTGACTCATGGTGTAACTATCTGATATGCAGACGGCCTTAGGCGCCCTCTGAGAGGGTCGGTCATTCTGCCCCAAAGGGTTGCCATGCACAGGCTGAGAACTGCTGCTCCACATGACCACGCTGCGGCTGATGCATAGCTCAGGGTCCCCTGGGATGACTGACACGTTAAAGCATCAAGAGAACCTTAGCTAATGCCTCTACAGAGTGTGGTCCTGGCCAGGTAGGGTATGCTGGACCCTGGAACATTAGAGCTTTCAGAGCCAGCTTCAGATGGAAAAATGAAGGTTTCAGGGTCCTTCCCCAAAAGTCAAGACTGAGGCTGGTGAGCCATGGGCACAAATGACCCTGAAGGATGGACAGTCACCCCTTTACACCCATGCTCCCAGTCTTCATGGTGCCCTATTCCTTTACCAAGTGCCCTTTCATCCCTGCAATCTCTTTTTGGCCCAGAACACACAATTTTGTTATTTTTCCTGAGGGCCTCTGGTTAATCCCAAAACCAATAGCATGGGCTGCTAAAGAATTTGAGTTGGAATTAGAGTTGAGGGGGACGGGAGAGACAGCGTCTCTGGTTTAAGGAACAGGCAAGTGTAGTCGGCAGTTCTCCCTTTTATAAACCGGTGATCCAGCACTTGGTGGCTGCTGATCTGATGTGCAGGTTGCACACACGCACCACCACAGCAGCCAAAGGCTGCTTGTTGCAAGGGGCAGAGGCCTTGACTGCAAAGTTGTGGAGCAAATGCAGGCATCATAATTAAGTATATACAGACAGCTCTAGGGGCACCATCTTGAAGAACTGTGCCCATTTTGTGTATGGAAGGTTTCCAGGGTGGAAAGGTCCTAGTGATCTGGTCAAACCTTCCAGACAGCCAGAAATAGAAGAGGGTCAGCCTCTCACTTGCATGTGACAGGTGCACAGGATCCTGAAGATAGAAAAGCCAGGTCTCATCATTCATTCATTCATTCATTCATTCATTCATTCATTCATTCATTCATTC